CTATAGTTGAGAGCACGTAAATAATACTTTCTTCGTAATCATCCAATAGAAAAAAAAAAAAATTTCAAACTATTATAAACAAGGTATTATTTAATTTCGTTTATTTGATTGATTTATTTTTATATGTTTTCATTTTGCCATCTTAAATTGCGAAAAAGATTTGGGTTAATAATAATAATTTTTAATTAATTAAAATTTTCATCTCAAACATAATTTGTATTTTGTCATATTTAATTTATTCTAGCAGCACTGATTCTTTTTTCAGCTTAAGAGGAATATATACATATATATATATATATGTATAAGTTAGTAAGTGGATGGACAAGTATGGCCCTGGGTCTGGGTCTGTGTCTAGGCTTGGATGATAGTTTGAGCCTTGGTCTCGGTCTAGACATGGGCCTGAGCCTGGACATATGGAGAATCTTAATGTGATATTTATTCTCTGTCAATGGCGCGGCGAGCAACAGCTAGGACCCGACCCGAGATTCCAACACAAGAAAAGTAACGGTAAGTTGAGGGCAGAATAGGAAATTCACTTCAAAATTTAAACTCTGTTTTCCTGATCCGACGAGGAGAAGATGAGTCTCTGTTTCTAAGAAAGAAGAAGGATAAGAAGCGGAAATCCAAACAAAACATTCACTGTTTGTTTCCATTCTTGTTTTCAAGATTAAGAAGAAGAGACTCTCTGGGTTTCCTTCCATTTTTTCCATTCTTCTGCAAATCGCTTCTGTGGTAAGAAAAAGAGAGATTCAACCTCTGTGTTTTCTTTTAGGCCTTCTCTGTTCCAAATCGAGAGAAGGGATTTACAGTTTGTCTCCCTTCTTGTTTCGAAATAGAAGAAATTCTCTGGGTTTCCTTCCGTTGTTTTCATTCTTCTGCAAATCGCTTCCCTTTCCTTGCTTCTGTGATAAGAAGAAGAGAGATCTCAGTCTCTGTTTTCTTTCTGCGTTTCTCTCTTCCAAACAAACCGTTGAAACCTTTCCTTCTTCAGATTCTCTATTGCCTGCGAGAAAGATTTCAAGATGGATGAAACATTGGAGATTCTTGCAGCTGCCAAGAAAGCCGCTGATTCTGCAAACATAAAGGGTATTCTTCGCGGTTCATCTGACATTTCCAGATGTGTTGATTGTTTGAAGAAGCTTGAAACCTGTCCCTTCAACGCTGAAATCATCAACACCCACAACATCTACAAGAAGCTGCAAAATCTCTGTAAGCACAAGAGCAGAAAGATCTGCTCTGCAGCTTCCCGGCTTATCGATGTGTGGAAGAAGAGAGAGATCGAGGTCTCAAAAAGGTTGACGCGGCCAGGTATCATTCGCATCAAGTTGCGCCCTGCACCTCCTGCTCAGCCTAGTTCTCACAATGTTTCAAACTCGCCCCCTCTTCAACCCTCATCTCTGAAGATGGAAGAGTCCACCAAAGCTTCGAACAAAGGGCTCATCATTCGCCTCAAGATGCCATTGCAAACTCCTGTTCAACCTTCATCTAAGAAAGTGGAAGATGCACCAAGAAAAAAAGTCAGGGCCATGGTTGAGTCTGAGATGTTTGCTCAGATGGGTACTTGCCTTGGTAATCAAAAGATGAAGTACAGGTCCATTCTGTTCAACCTGAGGGATGTAAAAAATCCAGACTTGAGGAGAAAGGTTCTTTGTGGAGATATCAAACCTGCTGAGCTGATCAAGATGAAAAGTGAGGAGATGGCAAGCAATCAACTTAAGCTTGAGATGAGTGAGATAAGAAACAGGGCTGCACTTAGGGAAGAGTCTTTGATACATCAATTATCTGAATGTAATGCTGTATATTGATTAGTTTAGACCATTGGAAAAGAAGTAATATCCTGTACTGCTTCGTTAGAAAGAAATTTGATGTAATAGGTGAGTGCCACTGTTAGAGTCCTGTTGAAATTTGATGTAAATGAATATGGCTCTTTGAGTCTCTTTGAAAAATTCAATGTAATGAGATGAACATTTTGCTGATTTGAAATTTTTCATTTTGTGCTTCTCTGTTTCTATTTTCCTTTATGGATTGTTCTTCTAAGCATCTAATGTACATAGCAACAATTTGTGGAATGAAAAAATTTTCTTGGGGATGAATTGAGGGAATCCCCATGGATGGAGTCTTGATTGGTGGTGACTCTGCAGAGGAATTTTATAGTTGTTAGTTGTTTATTGTCTTCGATGGAGTCTTGAGAGTAATTATGTAATATTTTTAAAGATGAGAAAGCAAGATATAGTTGTTCAAGAAATTATGAAAGCATTTGGCAGAAATATTTAAGGCATGTTTGATGATATTCATGATTTGCAGCTCCACCAGCAAGAATCAATGTTGGTCCCTTAAATTTATATACAGTCATCACTCACATTTTTACCTTCTTCATGACAATGAAAAATCCTTTTAAATGTTTCTTTCATTATTATTTTTAATGTGTACATGCCAGTTTTCTCTTTGTGCTTAAGGAGGCCACCTTGCCTTTGTAGGTGTTTTGGATGATCCTCTGGCCCCAAAATAAAAGAGTGTGTAGGCCAAGTATTTGATTATACATATATATATATATATTTTTGCTGATTATCTTTTGGATTCAAATGGTTATGGAGGTGTTTTCTCTTGCAAAATTTAGTTTTGAGTTCCTTCTTATTTTTAAAAGAGAAAATATAATACCGATCTTCTGAGTTTCAATAACTTTTGTTTCATGTCTTATTTTTTGTAGGTTGCATATGAAGTGTTGAATTCTGCAAATCTTTTTTAAGTATTTATTATGATGATATTTATTTTACATGAATATGATTGAATTTCTGAATACAAGTCTGCTGCAGCCTTCAATCATAGAATGGTCTAGAACTCGAGGCTTATTTAGTGGATACTGTAGGTTATGTTTATAACAAATTCGGAAATTTTTTTAAGTTCTCTTACAAATTTTATGCTTAGTTGTTTGTCAAACTCTCTTAACAAAGTGCTTTTATAGGGATCAAGAGCATTATCTAAGAGTTGTGAGGGTTTGGTTAAAATAATTCACTACACTTTTTGCAGCCACATACTCTGCCTTAAGCTTTAGATTGAGCCACTATACTTGTTTCTTCGAGTTCTAGCTTATCATGCATGATCCAAGGTGAAAAATATGCTCGTAAGTGCTGTGATGGAAAAAGATAAAAGCAAAAAAAAACCAGAGCAGAAAAAGCAAACGTAGCAGAACCTGTAAACCTTTTCTTCTGATTCCAGTCTGTGTAAAACAAGCAAAAAGAGCCTCTATATATAGGCTTACATAAAACAAACAGAGCTAAAAAAATCGTCATCAAATCTCACAACTAATCCCACTACTCTGTTACCTATTTGCAACTGTAAAAGAAACTTGCTTAAATTTAGGAAACTAACAGATAAGAGAAAGACTCATTCAAACTTTAAATTACATTTCAACACTCCCCCTTGATTCAAAGTTACTAACTCCCATAATTTTTCTGAAATTCTCATGCTTTTCCAATGGAAGCGCCTTTGTCAGTATATCAGCAACTTGTTCCTTTGTATTATAAGATTTTAACATGATTTCTTCACTTGTAACAAGCCTCCGAATGAAGTGATAAGGAACGTCAATATGTTTTGTTCTGCTGTGATAAGCTTGATTCTTCGTCATTGCAATAGCTGACATGCTATCACAAAAGATCTCTGTTGCTCCAGCTTGCTTCTGATCAAAATCGGCAAGAAGTCTCCTTAGCCAAACTGCTTGACTGGCTGATACTGTTGCTGCAATATATTCAGCCTCTGATGATGATAATGCTACCACCTCCTACTTCTTTAAACTCCATGAAATTGCTCCTGATCCAAGATTGAACAGAAATCCAGACGTACTTTTTCTATCATTGATACAACCTGCATGATCACTATCAGTGAAACCTGTTAGTTTAAAAGTTGATACCTTGGAGTACCAAATTCCCAACTCTGCAGTTCTTGCTATATATCTTAAAATTCTCTTTGCAACTCCAAGATGCAGCTTGCTTGGATTATGCATAAATCTGGACACAACTCCAACAGAGAAAGCAATATCCGGTTTAGTATGAGACAAATAATTCAAGCCTCCAACAATACTTCTGAAATATGTTGCATTCACACTTCCAGCACCATCATCTTGACTTAATTTTTCATTTATATTTATGGGTGTGACTTCTTTTTTGCAGTTTAGCATATTGAACTTCTTCAAAAGATCCATTGCATATTTTCTTTGTGAAATAAAGATTCCATCCACAACTTGCATTACTTCAATACCAAGAAAATAATGTAACAAGTTTAAGTCTGTCATTTCAAATTTTTTCATCATGCAGGCCTTAAACTCAGCAATTATAAACTCACTAGAACCCATATAAATCATATTATCAACATAGAGACATACTACCAGAAATTCATCTTTATCATATTACCAGAAATTCATCTTTACCATTTTTCTTTAAATAAAACGTACGCTCATTTTCACTTCTTTCAAATCCATTCTCCTGAAAATAAGAATCAATTTTGAAATACCATGCCCGTGGTGCTTGCTTTAAGCCATAAAGCGCCTTTTTTAACTTGTAAACTTTATCTTCATTACCATTTGCTACAAAACCTTCAGGCTGTGAGACGTACACTTTTTCCAAATCACCATTTAAAAAAACAGATTTAGCATCAAATTAGTATACTGGCCAATTTAATTGAGCAGCTAAGGCTAGAAAAATTCTCACCGTTTCAAAGCGTGCAACAGGAGAAAAGGTTTCATAAAAGTCAATACCTTGTTGTTGAGAATAGCCTTTTACAACCAGCCTCGCCTTGTGTTTTTGGATGCTCCCCTCTGCATGATACTTAGTTCTGAACACCCATTTGAGCCCAATAGCATTCTTTCCTTTCGGTAAGTCAAGCAAATCCCAGGTTTGATTTTTCTTAATAGCTGACAGCTCATTTTCCATAGCTTTATACCATTCCTTGCTTTTTACAGTTTCTTCAAAGTGAATAGGATCTGAGACGAGCAGAGCAAAAGTACAAGAATTATAAATTTCTTACAAGGATCTACATTTCTTTGGAGGAGTTTCACTTGATGAACTTGAAGATGATGATTCATTGCTTGTAGGAACAAATGAATTGCTACTTCCAGGAGTGCCGGAGCTAGAAATTGTTGGTGTTGAATTCAGCGACGATGCAACATTATCTTTTAACACTTGAACATGCTGCTCTTTGTTTTCTTCATTCCAAATCCATTTTGCATCTTCATTAAAAACTACATCTCTATTAATTGTGATCTTGCCACTAGTGGGGTTATCGAGCTTAAATGCTTTGGATTGTGAGCAATAACCAACAAAAATGTACTTTTCAGATTTTTCATCAAATTTTCTAGAATGGGTTTTAACCAAAAACTTTTAAGTGGCTTATCGTTGGTTTTCTACCTGTCTAAGCCTCAACAGGTGTTTGATTACGAATAGTTTTTGTAGGAGACAAATTGAGAATATACACCGCTGTTGCAACAGCTTCTGCCCAAAAATAAATAGGAAGACCTTTTGCTTGCATCATACTTCTGGCTATCTCCACTACTGTTTTGTTCTTTCTTTCAGCTATACTGTTTTGTTGTGGTGTGTATGGCGCTGCAAGCTCCCTGCGAATTCCATTTTCCTCACAAAAAGTATTAAAATCAGTTGAAACAAATTCACCTCCTCTATCTGTTCGCAATGTCTTTATTAAAAGATCTTTGTTTTTTCTATAAGTGCTTTAAACTTCTTAAATCTGTCAAAAGCTTCAGACTTGCTTTCTAAAAAATAAACCCAACTCATGTGGCTATAATCGTCTATAAACAGTAGAAAATATCGACTACCACCAAGAGATTTTGTATTCATAGGCCCACACAAGTCTGCATGCACTAACTCAAGGCAATTAAAGGCTCTCCAGGCCTTTCCTATGGGAAAAGACTTTTTACTTTGTTTTCCATAAACACAACCTTTACAAAAACTAAGATTCTCAAGTTTTGGCAATCCAAAAAACCATTTCCTTTTGACTCAACAATTTTAATCCATTAATATTTAAGTGTCCATACCGTAAATGGCACAATCGAGTCTCACTATCACCACTAGCAACCATAGTACAATTCTCGATCATTGAAACTTCTAGCGGAAACATTTTATTTTTAGCCATCGGAACTTTAGCGGTGATTTGCTCAGATTTCTTATCTCTAATAGTGCAACAATTAGTGTCAAACAGAATTGAGTATCCACTAATCATTAATTGCCCAATGTTAAGCAGATTATGAGATAAATCAGGAACAAGCATCACATCTTGTAAAATCTTAGCATTCCCTTGACTAGTTTTAATGCTTATGATACCTTTGCCTTCAACTCAAATCTTCTTGCTGTCTCCTAGCGTCACATCTATTTTATCGGACTCATCAGGTTCCTTAAATAATAATTTTGTTCCACACATATAGTTAAAACAACCGCTGTCCAAAAACCAAACATTGTTAGACTGTTCTCTCTCACAAAAAAGAGCCATGAACAACTTTCTTTCTTCATCTGGTTCCTCTGCAAAACTTGCTTGGTTGTTCTCATCTTTTTGTTTTTTCCAACAATAAGCCTCTCTATGACCTGGTTTATTACCGTAGTAACATTTAAAGATCTTCCTTTGCCTCTCTTCATTAGATACTCTTCTACCTGCACCTTTTCCTCGGCCTCTTTCATGAAAGCCACCTCTGCCACTGCCACTGCCACTGCCACATCCAGCAGCATTTTCATGCATCTCCCCCTTCACCTGAAAGGCTTTTTCTTCATTCTTTTCATATGACCTGAGCAATCTGTCTTCATGAGCC